TAGTGGCTTAGGGCCTTACACGTCATTTACCCCTCTTTCCCCGCTTTGGGCGCCAACATGGCTGCGGAGCTGTGGCCATGGCTCAACGCCACGATGGAGCTTTGGAGCTCCTTGCTGGGCTGCCAGGCTGCGGCGTAGGCGGTAATACGCACAACTCAGTGTCCTTTCTGCCTTTTCCGCCTTGGCAGGCCTGCACCTTCAAGAGCTCCGAGGCCTCAATCCCCAAGTCCTAGAACCCTAAGGTTTCATTGAAGCCCTGTGGCGCCCCCTTGCAGGAGGAGATCCTTGTTGAAGCTCATGTCACAGAGGCCATGGCCCGCGTGCACGAAACTTCCCAACCTTAAGCCCAAAGCCCTCGACCGCGGCTGTCTTAAACTCTCTGGCCTGCGCCCACAGGAAATGCCACAGGCCTCCGAGGCAAATGTTTTCCGGTGCATCCAGCTGGAGCCTCAGCGCTTGGAAGCAGATTCCAGATTTCTCAAGCCGAAGCCGTTCATGTTGCAAATGCCGAGGTGCCGACGTCTTTCAGCAGACGAGCCTCTCCAAGCAGTTGTGGCCCACAAGCCTACGCAAGCAGGGCTCCCAGTAGCCTTTTCCCGGAGCCAGGGGAGAATCTTACCAACCGCCGGTTGAACCACAGGCGGGTGCAGCGGGTCCATCCCTAAATTGGTCAAAACGGGGCCAAATCCCCACCTCCGATGGTTTTCGAGGGTCCGACATGGTGCCCACAACTTGCCTGTCACCTAAGGGTCGGCTTAAGCTAAGCGCCCCTTAGGTGGAAGGCGAGCCTTGCCTCCTCCACCTACCGAACTAACTTTTCCCCCGTCGTCCCCCCCCCCCCCCCACAAGTCTTCTCAGGTTCGCAAGGGGCGGCCGCTCGCTGTAGGATTGTCAGGATGCAGGAGTTTAGCATGCGCAAGGCTTCGGGGGATGTTTCTGATTGCATGCTCGTGTCGAGCGGCAGTCGCTATTCAGGTTCGTGGCTGCGCACATGGGCCGTTCTGCGGACGCTGTGCAAGCAGCGTGCGCAAGCAGGCAGGACGTTTGCCGAGATTTCGGCAGCAAGGTTGGTTGCCGTAGTTCAGGGTCCTTAGGGCACGTGGTGTGCGAACCAAACCCTCAACTCCAAGCCGCGAATCCGCCTAGTTCACCGTGTGACTCTGGCTCTAAACCCTCCCCAGCCCCTAAAGGCCCCTAAGCCCTATGGCCTATGGCCCTGCATGGTGCCGCCTTCCCCGAAGGTGTTGGGCCTTTGCGTCTGCCGCGCTTTGGTTTCAGAGTTCCGTCGCGGGCTTGGCGTTTCATGGCTCTGGGGCTCAGGGCTTCGTGGGCTCATGGGTCCAGGGTTCCTGGGTTTAGGGTTTAGGGTATAGGGTTTAGGGTTTCTTTCAAAAGGAGGTTTAGGGCTCAAAGTGGAAGACCCGAACCCTACGTCGATCCCTGAAGCCCCAGGCCTTTGAACGATCTCTGTGACATTGATACGCTGCACGTGCCTCAGAATGCTGAGCTCAGCCGTCGTGGCACTGGGCCATGGCATTGAGCGTTCGACTGCCCGTACTTGATCACAAGGTTGGCACATTCCGATTCGACGAAGTGACGCAACCAGACTTCTGTGGGCATGTCTTAAATCGCGTAGCTCATCAAACACCTATCTCAGCAATGGATAAAAAGCCCTTTCTAGCATTTTCTAGCCTTGTTTTCAACTATCCGCGGTTCTTGAAGCGTACATGCGAAAGTTGAGACATTCTCATGGCCCTTGCGTGCTTCAAGGCCCGAAGCTATTGTCCCAATCTAGGCATGATCTTCGCTTTAGCCGAAAGGCAAGAACGTTCTTCCGGGCCTGGAAGATTTAGTTGCGGAGGAACCCGCGCAAGCGACAGAAACCTGTACCTCCATCGGCGCCCCCGCGCGCCTCAACGCAGAACCTTGCTCGATTGGCAGCTCGCCTTCTGACTCGGAGCTTTAGAGCGGACACTCCCATCCCGAAACCCGAGGAAGGGAAAGTCTCTCTCGCGAGAAGAAAAAGGATGCCCAAGGGTCCCTGAACTTAAGTCCTTTGGGTCCTGAATCATCCTTAGTTGTATGCATATATGTGCATATGTACACATATATGTATATATATATATGCACATATATATATATATAGATACATATGGGGGGTACCATATGTGTGTGTATATACACACACATATATATATATATATACACATATACATGTTTTGTATGTGTATACATGTAAGTTTTTACACGTATACACAGAAAGAACATACGCAGTGCCGCAGGCCAAGAAGCTGAGACCCGACGTGGCCGAAGGGGAGGCCCGACACGAAGACACTGCCGAGGCCAAGATCGCCTCCCTGAGGAATGCGCTTGAGAGCCGCGGTAGCCCCAAGGTCTGTTTTTCTTTTTCCTTTTTCTGGGGGGGGGGGGGGGGGGGGAGGGTTTGGGGCGCTTTGTGCGGGCTTAGGCTTGCCGAGGGCTTCAGGGTGTAGGAGGGTTTACAGAGCAGGCGTTTGGCAACTTGCTTGGGGGGGAATTCGGCAGGCTTTTGGGATTCCGTGTTGAGAAGCCGAGGAGTCCGGAAGAGGGCGGCCCCACCGTCGAGCAGCTGGAGGGCGTCAGGGAAATCGTCGAGAGGCAGCCCTTTGGCTTCCGCTCGACGGACTGCAATCTGGCGCTGAAGCGCCAGCTGCACCTGGGATTGGAAACCTGAAAACCCAAGCGTAAATCGCAAGGGTAAGAACCCCAAAGGTGAACCTCAAACTCAGCCCTCCAAACCTGAACCTTAGACCCCTGAGCCCTGGCTTCTGACCCTGGAGCACCCACAAAGGAAGGAAAGAATAGTAAACAAAGTGATCGGAAGACGACATTCCTTCATTCTTTACCCAACTCCACCAAGACCCCTCCCAATGCCCCACATACCATCACACCCCTGTGCCTTCAAACCACTAAAACTCCTGGCGGGTGGCAAAAAAGACCTTGAACCCTAAACCCGCCCTAAACCCCAAACCCCAAACCCCAAACCCCAAACCCCAAACCCCAAACCCCAAACCCCAAACCCCAAACCCCAAACCACCCCAAACCCCAAACCCCAAACCCCAAACCCCAAACCCCAAACCCCAAACCCCAAACCCCAAACCCCAAACCCCAAACCCCAAACCCCAAACCCCAAACCCAAACCCAAACCCCAAAACCCCAAACCCCAAACCCCAAACCCCAAAACCCTAAACCCTAAACCCTAAACCCTAACCCCAAAGCAATCTCCAGGTTCCAGCTGCTTCCACGCCTTGGCCTGCTGCACAAATCGAAGGACTTGGGCCTGCAGCGAGCGCTGGCGGACTTTGTGGACACCCTCCTCCGCACCTGCGCAGCCCAGGAGTTCCAGGTTTAGTCCTTAACCCTAAACCCTAAACCCTAAACCCTAAACCCTCAACCCTCAACCCTCAACCCTCAACCCTCAACCCTCAACCCTCAACCCTCAACCCTCAACCCTAAGCCCTAAACCCCCCCCCCCCCCCCCCCCGTTTGAGGACTGTTTTTTTTCGGAAAATTATCCCCAGGCCAGGGTTTAGGGCCCAGCCCAGGGTTCCACAGGCTTCTTGGGTTTGGGGTTGAGCTCTGATTGCGGGAGCCTACTGTGTGAAATCGCAGAAGGCCTGCTGCCAAAAAACGGTTGAAGGTTGAAAGCCTGTTGCAAGAGGGGTTGACGGTAGTCAAAGGGTGCTGGCGCCAGGTTTCGGGCGTAGGGCTTGGAAACCCGACAGAAAACACATCATGAGCCCGGCAAAAACCCTATGCTCTTTAAAACCCTGTTTTCAAAGCCCTCTAACAGCCCTCTAACAGCCCAATCCCTACAAACCCCAAACCCCAAACCCCAAACCCCAAACCCCAAACCCTAAACCCTAAACCCTAAACCCTAAACCCTAAACCCTAAACCCAAACAAAAACGAAGTCTTTTGTTGCAGCCCCTGATGCGAAAGCCCAGGAAAAGGCTATGCACAGGGCTCCCGTGATCGCCGGGATGTTGCGTGGCCCTCTTTTGGCTGAAAGTTTGTTGGGGCGGGGGGGGGGAGTGTTTTTGGGGTCGGTTCAAAGAGAGGTGCAAAAAGGGTTTAGGGTAGGGGGTTTCGGGGTTTCGGGGATTGGGGGTGCGCGATGGGCAGGGTTTGGGGGGTTTTGGTTTCGGGCTTGGGAGAGCTGAGAAATCTGGGCTTCGGAGATGGGGAGGGGTGGGGGCTTGATATTTTTTCTAACGCGCGACCCTAAACACTAAACCCTAAACCCTAAACCCTAAACCCTAAACCCTAAACCCTAAACCCTAAACCCTAAACCCTAAACCCTAAACCCTAAACCCCATGAGTTCGAGCGCCGAGGTGATCGCTTCGGGAGCCTACCTGGCCTGCATGGAGGCTTTGGGGTCCGCGGAGAGTGTGGAAAGTGTGGCAGCGGTCCACACGCACCCGGGCCTGATCCGTTGCGGTTTAGGGTTTAGGGTTTAGGGTTTAGGGTTTAGGGTTTAGGGTTTAGGGTTTAGGGGGGGTTGGGGGGGGGGGGGGTGGCTTCAGGGCTTGTGGGGCGGCTGCTGGCCGGGGGGGGGTGGTTCCTGGCCTTGGGTGTAAAGGACGAAAGCTTCTTTAGGGTTGAAGATTTCGGGCTGGGCTGATTTGGTTCCAGATATGGGGCTTTCTGTGGCCCGTCCTAGACTTTTATTTTGTTGGTTGGGGTTGGGGACTTGAGGCTGCGAGGAACATGCCCCGCTCTTCCCCCATGTGGCACGTAAGGTACCTCCATCTCTCCGACTACGTGGCGTTCTACGAGGCCTTCGGGAGCCAGCCGATCCCTGGAGCCGGTAAAGTACTCCATTCTTTGGCCTTTCCGTCTTCATCTCCCCCCACACCCCCCGTCCCCCGTCCCCCCAAACTCAGAATCCTCAGCTCGGTGCCTTCGCCCCTCAGCCCGAGCTCCCCACGTTGCCAAATTTCCAACAGGACTTCATCGGCATGCACCCGGACTTCTGGCATCCGGACCTCTTCCGGGCAGTTCTGAGGCACCTGCCTAGCATCATCCAAGTCCCCGACGGCATAGAGGTGGACGACCCTCAGCTCTGGCTCGCCAAAACTATATCCTTCTCAAACTCCGCACCGCAAACCTTAACAAAACCCAAAAGAACACCTAAGAACTAACAAAACCAAAAGAACACCTAAAAAATGAACCCTCAAGAAAAACCCAAGCAACCCCACAAGCTCAGGAATGGGCCCTGCGCTGCCCGGACATCGAAGCCGCAATCAAGTGCCTCTTCTGCTTCCTGCTGTTCTGGACGGCGAAGGAGAGCGCAGAGCCGAAACCTCTCGAAGCCAAGAAGAAAGCCAAAGGGGATATGGGGTCATTGTAGGGCGTTATTGGTTCGTTAGTTAGGGTTTCTTAGGGCTTGCTAGGGTTTATTCGGTCTGAATAGGGTTTGTTCGGGTCGACATTGAGGTTTGTGGGGGTTTTCGGCCACGACCCCCCCCCCCCCTCCCTCCCCAAAGATAAAGCCCATGTTTGAAGGAAAGCAGCGAGCGGTTCACCTTCGAGGCTCCATCCCACGGTGTTTCCACACCTAAACCCTAAACCCTAAACCCTAAAGCCTAAACCCTAAACCCTAAAGCCTAAACCCTAAACCCTAAACCCGAAACCCGAAACCCGAAACCCGAAACCCTAAACCCCAAACCCCAAACCCTAAACCCTCAACCCCAAGCCCCAATCCCCAAACCCAAACCCCAAACCCTAAACTCAAACCGCCGGGAACTCTAAGTCCAAAACCCCCAAGGAGCTCCAAGCCCTAGTTTAATAAAGGGTTTATGGTTCATCTGCCTGAGTGGGAATTCGAGTAGTCTAAGGGTGCATGACCCCCAACTTTAGGGGTTCAATGTTGTCCCTCCAAGGCAGTTGGGGGAAGGGGGGGGGGGGGGTGGAGGGCTGTGGGAGAAGGTGGCTGAAGCTCTGCCGTTGCTCAACGCGGCGCTGGATGCCATTGAGCGGAATGACGCCGACCTGACAGTTGCAGCACATGAAATGCTGTATGCTCTAAGCCCTAAGCCCTAAGCCCGAAGCCCTGAGCCCTAAGCCCGAAGCCCTAAGCCCGAAGCCCTGAGCCCGAAGCCCTGAACCCTAAGCCCTTAGCCCTTAAGCCCTTAGCCCTTAAGCCCGAAGCCCTGAGGCCGAATCCCAAAACCATGAGCTATCGGATCCTGAAGCTAGAGCCTCCTTTCTACTTTTACTGCCACTCTTGTGTTGTTGGGGCGCACGAGTCTCTCTTGCATCAGCTCCCCGCGCCTCCAAGACTCTAAGCCCTACTCCTAGCCATTGCCCTGCAGTGTGTCCGAGAGGTCTGCGAGGCAGGTGGCAAAAAGCAACTCTCAACCCTCAACCCTAAGCCCGAAACCCTGAACTTACGAAGCTGCCAAGTGTCCACTCAGGACTCGCGCTTTGGCACTGAGATCGGCGCCAAGGTACGGGGCGACGCCTTAGAGGAGAGGCCCAGGGCTTGTGCAGGGTTTCGGGTTGAGGGGGGCTTCGGGCTTTCTAGGGGTTTAGGGGCTGAGAACTTTGCATGTCGTTGGCGCATGCTTTTGGCTTGTGCTGTCTTGTGAATATCATGACATGGGACGATGAGCCCGGATGTAAGGAAAACCAAACACAGGGTTTGAGGGCTGATTAGGGTCTAGGGTCTAGGGATGAGGGTGTAGGGGTCTGGAGGAGGACCTGAGGTTTCTGTGGGTTTTTGTCATCTGCAGCCTTTCACCCCTCCCAAAACCCCAAGTGTTTTTTTGCCACCCACATTTGGGTTTAGGATTTTCGGTTCAGCCTGTTCGAACTTTTCGGCCTTCTTGGGCTTCTCATAGCCATGCGGAGTCTTGAAGGACATGTCATTATATAAAGGCACAAACCCACCCCCCCCCCCTCCCCAAAAAGATCAACCCCTAAACCCTAAACCCTAAACCCTAAACCCTAATCCCTAAACCCTGCTAGACGGGTGGCAAAAACAAAACCCTCGACCCTACACCACCCTGGAGCCAGAGAGGAGATGATCCGAGTTTGCGGACTCCTGACCCAGCACCCTGGACCTTTCCCTGGACCTTTCTAAGGGGCCACCCTCAACAGGGGGCCCAATTTTTGGGATGTTCCCCCTGAAACTAACAGTCCTTAACAGGGAGTATAGTACCCCCTAGGAAAATCCCTATTAAGGACTTTTCGCGCAAGGGGAACATCCCAACCAATACTCTTGTTGGTCTCTCTTTTCTTTTTAGACGGCTTGTTGTGCTGATAAGGCCTTGAGGGCTTATCGACCCCAGAAACTTCCTGAAATGCCCAACCCCAATCCAAATCCCTAAGGTGGGGATGTTCGAAGTAACAGAAGTCTTGTTCTGGTTCAGGGCATGGGTTTGGGGAGATTCGCATGAAGTCGTGCTACCACAAGATGCAGGAGGTCTTTAGTTATAAGGTCCTTAAGGGATGGCGGTTCATGGGGGAAGGTACCTAGAGAACCTTAGGGAAGCTGAGGGAGCCTTAGGGAGTAGTCGGGGGTATTAGGGAACCTTTGGGTTTACCCCCTTGAACCCCCGCTCCCTGAAGGACCCCATAACTTACTGCGGCTTCTTTCTTGCCTTTCAGGATGCAAAGCAACAAGCCCCTAAACCCCCTCAAACCCCCTCAACCCCCTAAACCCCCTAAACCCCCTAAACCCGCTAAACCCCCCTAAACCCCCCTAAACCCCCTAAACCCCCCTAAACCCCCCTAACCCTAAATCGAATCAGCAAACAGGTTCACGGTTAGGGTTTAGGGTTTAAAGGGCTCAAAGGGTTTAAAGGGTTTAAAGTTTAAAGGGCTTAAAGGGTTTAAAGGGTTTGAAGGGTTTCAAGGGTTTAAAGGGTTTAAAGGGTTTAAAGGGTTTAAAGGGCTTGAAGGGTTTAAAGGGTTTAACGGGCTTAAAGGGCTTAAAGGGTTTAAAGGGTTTGAAGGGCTTAAAGGGTTTAAAGGGTTTAAAGGGTTTAAAGGGTTTAAAGGGTTTAAAGGGTTTAAAGGGTTTAAAGGGTTTAAAGGGACGGTTTAGGGTCTAAAGGGCTTAAAGGGTTTAAAGGGTTTAAAGGGCTTAAAGGGTTTAAAGGGCTTAAAGGGTTTAAAGGGTTTAAAGGGCTTAAAGGGTTTAAAGGGCTTAAAGGGTTTAAAGGGTTTAAAGGGCTTAAAGGGTTTAAAGGGCTTAAAGGGTTTAAAGGGTTTAAAGGGCTTAAAGGGTTTAAAGGGCTTAAAGGGTTTAAAGGGCTTAAAGGGTTTAAAGGGCTTAAAGGGTTTAAAGGGTTTAAAGGGTTTAAAGGGTTTGAAGGGCTTAAAGGGTTTAAAGGGGTTAAAGGGCTTAAAGGGTTTAAAGGGCTTAAAGGGTTTAAAGGGTTTAAAGGGCTTAAAGGGTTTAAAGGGGTTAAAGGGTTTAAAGGGTTTAAAGGGCTTAAAGGGCTTAAAGGGTTTAAAGGGTTTAAAGGGCTTAAAGGGTTTAAAGTTAAAGGGTTTAAAGGGTTTAAAGGGTTTAAAGGGCTTAAAGGGTTTAAAGGGTTTAAAGGGCTTAAAGGGTTTAAAGGGTTTAAAGGGCTTAAAGGGTTTAAAGGGCTTAAAGGGTTTAAAGGGTTTAAAGGGCTTAAAGGGTTTAAAGGGCTTAAAGGGTTTAAAGGGTTTAAAGGGCTTAAAGGGTTTAAAGGGGTTAAAGGGTTTAAAGGGTTAAAGGGCTTAAAGGGTTTAAAGGGCTTAAAGGGTTTAAAAAGGGTTTAAAGGGCTTAAAGGGTTTAAAGGGTTTAAAGGGTTTAAAGGGCTTAAAGGGTTTAAAGGGCTTAAAGGGTTTAAAGGGTTTAAAGGGCTTAAAGGGTTTAAAGGGGTTAAAGGGTTTAAAGGGTTTAAAGGGCTTAAAGGGTTTAAAGGGCTTAAAGGGTTTAAAGGGTTTAAAGGGCTTAAAGGGTTTAAAGGGGTTAAAGGGTTTAAAGGGTTCAAAGGGCTTAAAGGGTTTAAAGGGCTTAAAGGGTTTAAAGGGGTTAAAGGGTTTAAAGGGCTTAAAGGGTTTAAAGGGTTTAAAGGGCTTAAAGGGTTTAAAGGGCTTGAAGGGTTTAAAGGGCTTAAAGTGGCTTAAAGGGTTTAAAGGGCTTAAAGGGTTCAAAGGGTTTAAAGGGCTTAAAGGGTTTAAAGGGCTTGAAGGGTTTAAAGGGCTTAAAGGGTTTAAAGGGTTTAAAGGGCTTAAAGGGTTTAAAGGGCTTGAAGGGTTTAAAGGGCTTAAAGGGTTTAAAGGGTTTAAAGGGCTTAAAGGGTTTAAAGGGGTTAAAGGGTTTAAAGGGTTTAAAGGGCTTAAAGGGTTTAAAGGGCTTAAAGGGTTTAAAGGGTTTAAAGGGTTTAAAGGGCTTAAAGGGTTTAAAGGGTTTGAAGGGCTTAAAGGGTTTAAAGGGCTTGAAGGGTTTAAAGGGCTTAAAGGGTTTAAAGGGCTTGAAGGGTTTAAAGGGTTTAAAGTGGTTAAAGTAGTTTAAAGTAGTTTAAAGGGTTTAAAGGGTTTTAAAGGGTTCAGGGGGGGAGTCAGAACCCTCGGTCCTCAGGTTCAGCATCGAGAGGATGGACAGCATGGACGAGGGGGAGGCCCTGGCAGCAGTGCAGCACCACGCCATCCAGCTGATGCATGTGCTGCCTGTCTGGTTTAGGGTTTGGGTTTAGGGTTTAGGGTTTAGGGTTTAGGGTTTAGGGTTTAGGGTTTAGGGTTTAGGGTTTAGGGTTTAGGGTTTAGGGTTTAGGGTTTGGGATTAGGGTTTGGGTTTGGGGTTTGGGGTTTGGGGTTTGGGGTTTGGGGGTTAGGGTCCAGGCTAGGTTTGCCGAGGAGTTGCTGCGAGTTTGTAATGGTAGAGAAGCGACTGGTTTGGGGTGCAGGGCCTTCTTTTCAGGGCCTTCGGATACGGTTTGGGGTATACTCCTCGGATGCCAAAAAGGGGGTAGTCCTGGTGGACTTCGAACGAGGCAAGGCACAGAGGATCAGGTTCAACTGGTTGAGACTTCGGTGGTCATGGCAAAGAAGTATCAGGATCCAACTCAGAAAGGGGTTCTAAGAACAGCTGAGTTTCAGGATCCAACTCAGAAAGGGGCATGTAAGAACAGCTGAACTCAGAAAGGGGCAGGTAAGAGCAGCTGAGTTTCGGCCTTTAGCGGCCCCCCCGAAACCTTAGGTTTTATGCGAGCAGCTAAAGAGCGTCTGTTCGCACGGGGCTTGCAGTAGTAAGCTTGGGGCAACCTTCACCGTCCTCACCCTTTCAACCTTTTTTGGGCTACGAGAACCCCTAAACCCTAAACCCTAAACCCTAAACCCTAAACCCTAAACCCTAAACCCTAAACCCTAAACCCTAAACCCTAAACCCTAAACCCTATACGGGGGGAACCCGAAGGGGGACGAGAAACCGAAAAGTCAACCCCAACAGAATCCCTTGATTTCCCTGGATCAACCACACAACAAACCCAAACCACAGGGCACTCACCTTTTACTACCAGGCACATGGCCCAGTCTTGAGCCATAAAAATAATTTCCGGGTTTATTAACCCTTTCAACTTCCAACACTAACTCTTTTTACAATACCAGTTGCAGCTCCGCACTCCCCCTGTCCTAGGATTTCCTAGGACACATTGGAGATGCAGATCTTTGGCCAAAAACTGCCATTAGGGCAGTAGCCTGCTGCTTGACATGCACAATATGGTTTAACGTCTACCAGGACGAAATTATAGCTCATTGGCTAAATCCACTAACCATAGAGAATCTTTTCACCATGATCCTCTCATCACTGAAGACTCCTTGGCCTTCTTCACCACAAACCGTGGTCTTCGCTACGCGAAAAGCTACTGACTTCTACTATCAGGGATTTCCATACCCTTAATAGTAACCACCACATTTGTCAGCACATTGGCTGTTCCAGCGCACCTGTCTCCAGAAAGAGAAAAACCATCCCTTCATCCATACCATCCAATCACTTCTTTTTCCGATTGTTGGCAATCTTGAGGTGAAGTTGCAGCAGAATATACTCCAGGTCCGAAACTGCAAGAACAGGATCCTGTACGCCCCTTTGAATTGAGGATACCAGTCCTTCTCTTTTCGCGTCCTCAATCGCTTGGCAAGGTTGACCCAGCTCTGCACTCACAGCTGCCGACGCTTGCTCATCCACATCAGGAGGACGATCCTTTTCTTCAGGACCTTTCACCACCACCACTTCTCCCTTTTTGGGACTCTGACTTTTCTCCTTCTTCTTCGCCTTTCCACCGACGATTGACTTTGCGCGCATTCTCGAGGCTTTTTCCCCTGCAGAAACCGCCGCATTGGTTGATGGTCCACTCTTCTCAATGGTCGCCGGCATCTTCTTCGGCTTTGGAACCAGGAGAGTATAAGGATCTTCGATAACCACAGGTTTCCTCTTCTTTTTAACCTTTTTTGCCTCCTCCTCAACGATAACTTCCGTCTCAGAAGTCTCAACCACCTCCTTCTCAGCAGGAATATCTTTGCTGGACTCCCTTTCCAGGGACCTCTTCTTGCCCCTTTTGGGATCTTTTTCTTCTTCCAAGTTGGCTCGCTCGAACCATATCCTCAGGTCATTGACCCATTCTTCCACCTCCTCGAGCGAAACGTCATACGACTTCACTACTTCGTGAAGTTCCAGCACGGACAACATATCGTCGGTCCACGAAACCCATTCTCTATCCATCTGGTCAGCGTCTCCCTTGAACTTCAGGAGTTTGAACGGTGGGTCCGCCTCTGCTCGAGCCAAGTCTGGTTTGCCATTCGAAAGAATTGAAATCGCTTCCATCAACAGTTCCGACATTTTGGTGTCATCGTCATAGGTCATGGAATACTCCTCACCATCATCGAACTGTTCAGGAGAGATCTCCTTTTCTCCACCATTTGCACCAGAACTTCTCCTTGGACCATCCCTTGGGGGCGTCCTTGGAGACCTTGGCCTCTGTTCATCCAGCGGAACACCATGCTCGAAGACACACCTGTCACCATAACGACACTTCCCAGACCGAGCAAACTGGATGCACCTCACACCAGTTGCATCATGCGAGAACGCACAATCCTTTCCAGCGAAACAGTCTCTCCCTGCCACATAGTATTTGCACCAATACGAATGTAGCACCACATCATCTTCTGAATGGATGAATTTGCAGTCTTCACCAAATTTGCAGCGATCTTTCCCCTTGCTGAACCAATAGCAGAAGCCTTTCTTCCTCTTCTCCAAGCGCTCCGCCTCGAACCGGTCCATAGGGCGATTCTGCTCTACATGAACATTGCCATGTGCTTGAGAACTGCTCCCTTCACCCCAGGTGCTATCAGTATTTGATGCTTGGAGTACAGCTGGAAAACCTGGCCTTAGTCCTACCACCTTCATGATTGGTTTTCCGCCAGCTCCTGAGCCACGCTGAGACGATCCAAAAACATTGAACTTCTTCATGAGGGCTTTCCTAGTGCCGATCTTCTGCACCCTTTTGATTGGACGCTTCATTGTTCCAACCTTGCATCCAGATACGTTCAAACGACACAACCTCCTATACCCAGCTCTATATCCCTTTTTCCAAAGAGCCATAAGAATTTTAGAGGCAGTAACATTCTCCACCTCTACCTTTTCCAACGATCCCTCACTTCCCGGAACAGACCCCTCCAGCCCATCCATATCTGAAGACCTTTCCATCTTTTTTGACACCACTTCGTCGAGGTAGTCTTCAGAGATCCAGGGTAAGTTCCTCTTAGAGGAAGGATTGTCACCATTGTTTGGTCCTTCACCAGGATACCCTTTTGTGCTGTCAAAGATCTTCCCAGTAGTGCGGTCCTGCGTAGAGAAGTTGGAAGCAACACGAGAGTACACTGACCACAAGAAAATCCTTGTGCCCGCCAGTCTTGACGACCCACTGGATGTCTCCTCTTCCGGAGAGACTTCTGGCGCTTTGCCATCCCTTCCAGTGTCACCAAGTGTTTCACCTCCAGCATTTTCAATGGGAATAAGGGATTCATTGTTCCCTTGATCTAGTACCGCACCTTGTTGATCGGGGATCTCCAGCACCATTCCTGTAGGATCCACTTCCTCATCAGCATCGTCGTCCATTCTGTTCCAGAGAACTTCCAATTGATCAGCGCAAGTCGCTGCCTGGAGGAACTCCATCATTTGGTCCCTCCCGTGCTGCCAGAGAAACTCGGAATTCACCACTGTTCCTTGGCCACCAAGTCTAAGGAATGGAGCGACCAGATTGGCTACCCTTGCCATAAGTTCCACATGAACTTCCATGCCTGGACTGCGACTCCAATCATAGGCTATTGCCTCCATAGCAGTTCCAAACTTTCCAGTATCCCTGAATTCCTTTTCCAGGCCAGGAGAAAGCAGTGCACCCATCACCGAAAGAGGATAATTTCCCACCACCGGCAAGCACGGATTGTCATGGAACGAATGATGCAAATCACAATAATATCCTTGATCTCTCCTTTCAAAAAGGAGTCTCCCAGTATTCAACTGGGCGTTCAGTTCATCCACTTGAACCATTTCAGCACATATTCTCTGTGCTGTGTACGCCATTGCTGGCCAGATGGAACGATCGGTCAGACCACGACGCATAACCCAATCAGTTGTTGGCGACTGAATCAGCGTCCTTGGATCATACACCAGAACTACCATCGCACCGTCACCCATTGACTGATCAGCATCGTCCTCCAGTGCCAGGTTCTCATCCTGTTCGCTTGCACCCTCGGATGACATGCTAATAACCAAATTTCGATCCATCTTATTGGACCCTTTTTGGCAGTCTCTTTGCCCCACCGGCAACTTGCCAACTGCAACCTTCCAATAAATCCGATTCAGAAGGCCTTTAACCAGCAATTGCTGAAGGTCACTCCTCACCAAACCACCGTCCAAATTCTTCGCATCATCACCACGGAGATCATTGCTCCCACCTTCTCCTTCATTTTGGTCAGTCTCCTCGCCGGGAATTTGCGCTGCTCCTTCCAGCGCCGTCTCCTGTCCAGCCACTTCATGCCCAGGAAGAACTTGAGCGCTTTCAGATCCATTCACCTGTCCAGCAACACCTTGCCCAGGTAAAACCTCATCCGTGGAGCCCACCGCCAGCGAACCAACCATAACTGAGCCATCCCTTGCTCTTTTTTGAGACTGTTCAGTTCGACGAGAAGGTTGTGGTAGCGAAAAAACTTGAGAAGTCACTTCTTGGCGGGTCTCCCCCCGCGACGCTTTGTCGCGTTCTTTGCCAAGGTGAACCGATTTTTTCTGCCCGGCATTGGGGCCGGAAGAACCACCCATCGGAACATTGCCACGAATCGCAGTTCTCTGTGAATCCCTTTCTTGCAAAAGGATTTCCCGCATGCGGTGCACAGCATTGGTCTCTTCCTCGCTTGAATCGCTTGAGGAAGCGGCATAAGAAACCAAAGCCTCCGCCTGATCATCATCGTCCACCACATCTGCCCACGCTCTGCTGAACCGATACGACAACCCACCACGAGGCTTCAGTTCCAGTGGTTTTGGTTTCTCCACCACTTCCGCCGGTTGCGCTCGTCGCTGTGAGCGAGAGCGTGGCACCTGTCGCACCTGTTTTTTGTCCAGCAAGGGCCTTCCCCTTTTCACAGGGTTTGATCTTGACCGATACTTTTTTGTTGGTGGATTCACCGGTGGCATTCCAACTCCCACCAACTTCAGCTTCTGTACACACAGCGGAGACCTCTGCGCAAGCGTCCAAGCGTCACGGTACTTGACCTTATCAAAAAGCTCCCGATAGGAGCCTCTCGGCATCGTTTTTGCACCGGAGTCTTCAGCTTCACGCACCTGAGTGAGGGTTCGCACCGCCGCTCTTCCAGTCCCTTTGTTCCCAGAAGATTGTTGTACTCGTACAGATGCATCAGAAGGAACTGCCTTTTCCGGTCCTCCCGGTCGATATCGGACCTCACCCACCAATTGCAGAATTTTGCATGCGGTCACCTTGTTGATCCCTTTGTCAACCAAATCTTCCACAAAGATGAACTCTTGCAAGTCCGACATTGGTCACACCAAGGGTAATCATCACCTCACCTACATGAGGGGTATACACCCACAGGTGTTGGTTGCGAGCCATCCAATTTTCAATTGGCTCCTCTGGATTGTGAAGCTGAGTGCTAGTAGACGCAGCCACCGAATTCTTTTGTTCATCAGCCTCTTCTTCATCCAGAATACCCTTTTCACCATCTTTTTGTGACACATTGGTCATCTGCAGCGCTTTTGGTGCTGAGGAGGACGAAGATTCTGCTCCCCCACTTACTGGTGGTTGAAAAGCGTTCCTGTCAGGAATCTCCAATCCCTTTGCCCTTTGAAAGGACACATGGTTTGCCACATTCACCAAATGCTTCAACTGGGCCAGCCGGTCCTCAGACATCTCTTCGTGAGAATACTTGCAGCCAAATCGCACACGACATCTCCCTTTGAGATAGTAGTCGAAACAGCACTGGTGGAACCCCGCGTCCCTTAGTGCCCTTCTGGAAGCATTGTCCCAAGATTTGCCAGGCTCCCAAGTCCCTTCCAATGCCACGTCATCGTCGTGGAGATACCTGCACGCAGTCCCATATTTACAACCACTTTGGTTGTAATACAGACACAGCCGTTTCTTCGTTTCACCCAGCGTAGGCTCACCTTTTGATGTCCCTTTGCCATAGTTGTACTGGGCTCGGAAGGCCGAATCCTCCCGCTCCTGCTGCACCTCATCCACTGTACCTTCATCAGTTGGAGGGCCACCGATGTCCCCATCCTCGTCACCAGTTTTTTGGCTGTTCTTTGGCTCAGTTGGCTCTCCTTCAGGCCACCCTTCACCGTAGCGACGATGTTCATAGGAACACCCATCTCCATTTCGACACCTCCCTTGATTGAAGAACCTGCACAGCTTACTGTATCCAAGTGACACAGTTTTCGGAGTCGTGTGAGCCTTCTTGTACTGATCGGGATCCATATAGGTCTCTATCGGCCTGTTTTCCCTCTTGCTCATCTCCTCGACTGCACCGTCAAGCTCTTGCAGAAATCGCTTGGTGTCCAACCACAGCTCGTTCCAAAGCTCATCTTTTCCCTTGCTCAGCAACATTGCCACCGCTTCACCCACAACTGGTCCACTAAATCTTCTTTTCTTGCGTGCCAGTTCGTAGAGCGCGTCGTGGTACTGCTTCCGGGAAAAAGTGGTTGTTTCTTCCACACCGACACGTTCTTTCTCCTCAGGCTTCCAACCATCACTTAGCAAGATGTTGTATGCGCTCCGAGCCTCATTATTCAGGAATGCATGATCTGCAATACACTCCAGAATCACATCCATTGAACGACCCAGCAACATCCCAGTGATTTTGCCCACGTAGTCATTATCAATTGTTTCATCTTCCAGGAGATTTCGACAGATCTTCTCTCCATAGAGCTGTTTCTGCTCCGCCTCCTCTTGTTCCCTCGAGGATGCTTTTGACTCGGCGAACCACTCACGAGACTGCGGTTCCTCTGACTTCCAGTCCCATTGACCATCAGAACCTTTGTACCATTGACCAGTCTGCCATGAGCCTGTCCACCATGTACCCCAGCCGCTGTCCTTCCATTTGCGCAGCTTTGGCGAGGAATCCTCCTCGTTCTCTTCCAAAACCAGAAAGGTGTCCAAGATTATGGTACCATCATCTTCCACTCGTTTCACTGTTCCATTGACAGTATCACCAAATTGGAACTGATGTACATTGTTCCCTTCTGCAGGAATCAATACATTTAGATCACCATAGTCCAAAAAAGCTCCATACCCATTGATGCAGCGCACTAGACCAGTGATCTTATCTCCCTCTTCATAGCAATGTGTCCCAGGTGATTCCAAGGCTCCCGCTCGGGGCACTTTCTTTGCATGCTCTTCAGAAACCATCTCTGTATCATCGGCTCCTGGCGCATCCTTTGTCTTCACCTTTGGGTCACACTGCTCGTCCTGTTCCACGAGTCCCACAAGCTCATCTTTTTTGTGCTCTTGGATTTCAGGACTTCCCTTTTTCTCTGCCAAAGGCTTTGCCTCATCTGCTTCAGTTCGCTCGGTGTCGACTTCCGGTGAACTTCCAGACGGCAACGCTACTCCCTTCATGGGAGTGGACCCTTCATTGGTGTCCTTTGTCACACCTTCTGCAGCAGGCAAATTTTCTTCCGCTGCAGGGCGATTGAGTTGATCATCCACGGCAGGCACACTTTCTTCCACCGCAGGCTCCTTTGGTTCCATGGTTTCCAAAGGAGAATTGCCACCATCATTGACCACAGCTGCCTCATTGGCTCCGGTGTAGTCCTTGTCATTTCGTTCCTCGCGGCTAATTTCAGGTTGCACCAGTGCGTCCACCTGTGAACCTCCATCATCAGCTGCTGCGGAGACCTGCGCCCCATTGTTGCAGTCGCCCGTGGAACGTACCACCATATGCACCTCAGCCCGTGCAGGTACTATCTGGCGCATCGACCCGCGCTTCATTGGCGCTCCAGGCCTCATCTTTCTTATCAACCGTGTCTCCAGCAGTTTCAGAAGTTTCCTTTTCCCTTTGAATGGCAGAATTCTCGGCACCAAACGAAGAGACCTCCTCAGTCGTAATGCACAACTTTTTCTCTTCGTCATCCAAATCTCCAGGGCCATCTTCCTGAACGACAGGCACCACATCCACCACTCGCTCTTCTGTAGCCGACACAATTCCGATCTCCACATTGGGCATTTTTTCTTCTGGACCCACCGATTCCACCGCTGCCACACCCTCAGAAAGCATCCCCATTTCTTCCCGATCCAGATGTTGAGCTTCAGCGATGTCTGCTCGGTTTCCAGAAATCCCCTCTTCATCAGGAGAACCCGAGGTCGGGGCGTCACCACCACCCCTAGGACCGCTATCCCCGATAGTAGAGGAAAAATCCTTTTCACTTACACTATTTACACCGCTGTTCACACTTTCCATGCTACCCTGCTGTGCCCTAGAAGACTCAGTAGATGATGGAGACGAGGTAGCACCCAGCGTTGGCTCATCTTCCACAGGGACAATGCCCATTCCAACACCTGGCCCCTCGCTATTTCCAGCCATTCCAGTCTTCTTAGGCAACACCCATTGGGTATCACCAGTGTCCAAGCAGTAAAAATATTCTCTCCCATCCTCGTGAAAATGGCGTTCCCATGTCTTCCCATCGCAGTCGACGATTGGAAGGTCAGCAGCCTGAGACGCTTTGCCTCCACCACCAGCGTATAAGTCCTCGTCTGACTCTTGCTGTATTCTTGCTGCCTCCAATTCCAGGATTTCTCCTTCGCTCATCACCATAGCAACAGGAACGACTCCTTCTGCGTCCCCAACAACGAGGATACTGCTTTTTGTCGCAGCAACAGGCGCAGTTTCTTCCACTTCACCTGTCAACAGATCACCACTTTCAGCCGCGAAACTCACCTTGTTGCGAGCTCGCTTGGAAACAGGGATAACATCCCCAACCAGTTCTGTCTGGCACCCTTGCTCCACCATCTTTGACGTAGAGGAGCTTGTTGTTGGCGCTCCCGTTGATTCAGCAGATTCCGCAGCTCGAAGAAGATGCCCATGTTTGCTCAGAAGGCGCAGCAAAACTGCTTCCATCTGGTCTTCCAGTCCTTCCACCACCGGCTTCTCTTCGCCACGCATACCACCAACATCAACCAGAGCTTCCTCATTGGGAACGACTTTTTCACCCGTTGCAGACCTTTTGACACCACCATCACCTTGGTCGCCCACATTGGAGCTTGATGATGCCACCCCAGTCCGTAACCAGTTGGTCGCCATGGCTTCAAGCTTCCACCCTAAAGCCGAAACACAAACCGCAGGGAACCTAATTTGGGCTCATAACCTACGGGGGGAACCCGAAGGGGGACGAGAAACCGAAAAGTCAACCCCAACAGAATCCCTTGATTTCCCTGGATCAACCACACAACAAACCCAAACCACAGGGCACTCACCTTTTACTACCAGGCACATGGCCCAGTCTTGAGCCATAAAAATAATTTCCGGGTTTATTAACCCTTTCAACTTCCAACACTAACTCTTTTTACAATACCAGTTGCAGCTCCGCACCCTAAACCCTAAACCCTAAGCCCTATTGGGATGGGATTCCATAGAATCTCCCAGGGTTGACCTTGAGTCCCCCTAGGATGCTCAACACCTGGCTGAAACATGTCTTGGGCGCCACGTTCATCAAGAAACGCTCAGCATGTAGGGTTTAGGGTTTAGGGTTTAGGGTGTAGGGGCTCCCCCCAACTTGGGGAGCTGCAGACAGCCCTGAGCCTCCGCAGCTGAGGCTGGTTCGGATGCTGAAGCTCAAGACGCCCGGTTTCCAAGCATCAGGAAGCCTTCCCTCACAACTCTCGAGCCCCAATGCCCGAAAAGCCACGAAGAGCCCGAACCACAGAAGCAGCCAAACACTTAAAAAAAAAAAACACTCTGCAGAAGCAACTGGAAGCTTAACACTTGAACCCCCCCCCCCCTCCCTCCCCCTCTCCCGAAGCTGTTGACCGGGTGGCTCCCAAGGATTCCCACTTGTGGATCCAAGCCGGAGGCCCTGGGAGCTGCGTCTTGAGGTCCAGGTCTGACGGGCTCCTGGCCAACTAGAAGTTTAGGATTCAGGGTTTAGGGGCTTGTTTAGGGACTGCAAGTCCCTCCTGAAAAAAAGGGGCTTGTTTAGGGTTTAGGGTTGAGCGTTGAGGGACCTGGTTGTTTAGGGAATGCCTGAGAGTGTGAGAGAGAGAAGGCTTGTGAAGGAGAGGAGTCTGCCTCGGTTTCGTCCATACGCACATGGCTGCTTTGGGTTTTGGGGGCGTAGTTTGTGTAAGGGAGGGTTCATGTCGGCTGCCGGTGATCCGGGGCTACAAACTCTTGATGCCCCTTTGCAGGGTACTAATGTGAACAGTTCCTGCCGACATTGGGGCCTCAAGCCCTAAGCCCTACGCCCTAAACCCTAAGCCCTCAGCCCTCAGCCCTCAGCCCTCAGCCCTAAGCCCTAAGCCCTAAACCCTAAGCCCGATACCCTGTTCGTGAGGCCATCACAGAGGGCCCGATCCCAGTGGACGAGCGGCAGCAGGACACCGAGTGGATTACCAACCTTTTCGAGCGACTTCCTGAGCTGGAGGACGCTGTGGGGTTTCGGGTGCAGGGTTTAGGGTTTAGGGTTTAGGGTTTAGGGTTTAGGGTTTAGAGTTTAGGGTTTAGGGTTTAGGGTTTAGGGGTAGCTGGAACAGAACGAGCGAGCACCTTGTGTCACTTCCGGCGAAGGAGCCGCCCGTGAAGACGGCCGTGTTGATGGACGCGTTCCGGGCCATGGTGGAGATGCCACTGGAGGAGCAGAGGTACCGACTGGAGTGCCTCGCGGTCTTGGTCCCACGCTTGCGCCTCGGTTGTATTGAAAGGTGCTCGTCAACCCGAAACCCTAAACCCTATAAACCCTGAACCCTAAACCCTAAACCCTAAACCCTAAACCCTAAGCCCTCAACCACGCGCCGGACTTTTGGACAGACCCCATGTGCTCTGGTTTTCAAAGTTCCAGCCATTGAGCCCCTAAAACCCTAATAAAAACAAACCTGAAGCACCTGGTGTCCCCTGTGGCTGTGGTCCCCAAAGCCTAAGGAAGGGCGAAAGGCTGAAGACATGCTGGGTCCCCGGAACCCCTAAACATTTTTAGCTTCTTGCTCCTAAGCCCCTAAACCCCTAAACCCCTAAACCCTAAACCCTAAACCCCAAGAAGCTGTGAGCTTCTAAACCCCCCTGTCCCAAGAGTCTAAGCGCCACACGCCCAGGATCCACGGCTATGCCGACCAGCTCAAGCAGAAGACCGTTCCCCCAGAGCTCGCCGACCTAAAGATTCTCAGCTTTCTCTTGAATCAACATGGCTTGGGGTTAGGGGGGGGTTTAGGGGGGTTTAGGGGGTTCAGGCCCATACTTCGGATCCCCTACTATATATGTGCTTAGGAATCTTTAACAGGGGTCCCCCCACACGCAAGGGGTACAACCTTGGGGGTGCAAGGTGGGGCCATTTTGATTTGCGCGAAGGACTGTGATGAACTCTGTCCTCCAAGACGAACCGACCACTTTCGCCCTCGAGTTGCTCGAGGAGGCCAGCGGGTTACGAGGGTTTAGGGTTTGGGGTTTCTGGGCTAAAGAAGGGTATAGGGCTGGTCCTGGGCTAACATAGGGAGTAGGGTTGGTGTAGGGTTAAGGGCTGTTGGGGTGTTAGGGCTTGCAGGGGGGTCGAAGGTGTCCTCCTACCCTTGCCTGCTGGACTTCACCACGAAGCGGGCGATGATCCACGCGCAGTGTGATCGCGTGCGGCTGACGCAGGCCTGGCCCCCAAAACGAACCCGAAGCCCTCGGTCGCCCTCAAAAAACACTGAAGCCGAAGCCCCCACTAAACCTTGGCATGTTCCCCCTGATACTAACAGCCCTTAACCAGGATTGCAATAGTACTTTCATCCCTAAAAGAAGGACTGTTCCCAATCCTAAACCCCTTCAGCCCATTAAAGCCCCGAGCCAAGAAGAATACGCCCTGTTCCGCCGGTGGGAAAAACACTTTCAGAGCCACTGTGGAAGTCCGAAACCATCTGCAAGCCGGGGCCTCAAACCCTAAGCCCTAAGCCCTAAGCCCTAAACCCTAAACCCTAAACCCTAAACCCTAAACCCTAAACCCTAAACCCTAAACCCCTAAACCCCTAAACCCCTAAACCCTAAACCCTGAACCCTAAACCCTGAACCCTAAACCCTAAACCCTAAACCCTAAACCCTAAACCCTGAGTGGCTCGTCCAGCTCTGCGGGTGCCAAAGAAGCCCCCGGGCCCTCAACCCTAAAGCCCAGGGCTCCGGCGAGCCCGTCCGGATCGTGGTTCCCCGGGACAATGTCCTGGACGGAGTCTGCTCCACGTTGAACCTCCAGGCCCGACGTTGAAAGGGTTTAGGGTTTAGGGTTTAGGGTTTAGGTTTTGGGTTTAGGGTTTAGGGTGTGGGGTTTAGGGTTTAGGGCCTAAAACCTGGACCCTAACCCCGAAGACAGGGCTAACCTGGACGGACCCGAAGCTTTTTTGGGGGTTTTTGTGAATGAAGGGGGGTCCGAGTAGTCGTGATTATGCTCCTCTTGAGTTGTTACGGTTCCAGCTGGTACGAGTATCCACCTCGATGGAAAAGGGGTGAAGATGATGAAGATGATGCGTATTGCAAACACCACTGCCTTCGCCTTCGGCCCTTCAAACCCTGTGAGCCCCCTACCAGCTTCACCCCCTGCAGGACGCGCAGGCCCGAATCGACGTGCCCCTAGAGATCGAGTTTCGAGCAGGCTACTCCGACGACACAGGCGGGGGGCCAAGATCCTCAGCCCCGGCAAGGTGGAAGGTTGAGGGCATCGTGGGCCCCAGCTTGTCTTAGTCTTCTAGGCTTCGGCTTCAAAGCATTTTCGAGGCAACGAGATGGTGGAGGATGGCCACTGGGCCGCATCGAAGTCTTAGTTGTCGGAGCTTACGGTTCGGGTTTAGGGGGGGGGGGTTCCGAAACCCCTAAGGGCTTCGGGTGTGTAGGTTCCGGGTTCAGGGTGTTTTTGTTCAACTTTTCCTTCTAACTTCTGGGTGGTGCTACTCAAGTTCCTTAAGCACCCATACCAGTAGGTGCACCCTTTGCCCTATCACAGCCAGCAAGCTTAAAGGCCGCGTGGCGAACAAACCCTGCTTCCTGAGGGAGTGCTGCCTCGTTGAATAGCCTTTGGGATGCTTCCCCTTCTTCTAACAGTCCTTAACAGGTGATTCTAGTAGTACCAGAATCCCTATTCAGGGCCTGTTAGTAGAAGGGGGAACATCCCAAATAGCCTCATTGAATAGCTTCATGGTCTTTGAATGCATTGGGTCCTGTGGGATTCTTCCAGATAGCGTGCGCCAAACCTTACGCCCCCCCAGCTGTGCAGGACGGGAAAAACGGCAAACCAAAACACCTTGAAGGCTCTCACCCCCTCCCCCCCGAAAAAAAAAAAAAAAAACCATAAAACCCTCAATCCTGAACCTTTCAACCACACCCATAAACTACCCCAAGCTGCCCTAAACTACCCCTAAACGACCCTAATCGACCGTAAACGACCGCAAATGACCATAAACTACCCTAAACTACCCTAAACCAAAAAAAAAAAATCCCCAAACTACCCTCAACTACCCTCAACTACCCTCAACTACCCTAAACTACCCAAAACGACCCAAAAACTACCCTAAACTCCCCTCAACGACTCAAAAACGACCTAAAACCCAAGGAGAGGACCAAGGCGGGCCTCGGAGGCAGTGGATGGACCGCGCCTGCCGCTACTTCATCGCCTCGGACCTCTTCATGTCCCCTTCGGAGGCCTCTTCCCGTGGAATTTTTTAGGGGGCCCTGGGGTTTAGGGTTTAGGGTTTAGGGTTTAGGGTTTAGTGCTTAAAAAAGGGGGCCTTGTGAAAGGACGCCGCTCACCTGGAGATGACCGACCGGGGTCCAGGGCCCCGTGGTCGGGGAAGGATCGTCGTGCCCTCGCCGGAGCCCGTGTGCCAGTGCGTGCAGGACTCTTTGAGGGTTTCCGAAAATCAGTGACCCCTTATCTAGTCTCACAAAAAGTAGGATTCCCTGAACATAACGACCCCAAAAGGTACCCTTAACTTCGGAAACCTCCACTTGGGATGTAGGCTTCGTGCAAGTGCCCGGAAGCCTGCAAGTGCCTTCAGATTGAAGGAAGGAGCACTGGAGCATGGCCCAGGCTAGCAAGGGTCGGGGTTGGGGTTCGATGGGTTCAGGGGTTGATAACATGAGGGTTTTAGGATTGTGGTGTTGTCACAGGCGTCTCAGACTCCATAAGCCCCCCCTGAAGCCTTCTTCAAACCCTACGCCCCCTGAAGTCGGAGAGGAAGACTGGACCGAGCAGTTCGAGCTGTTCGGTTGCGTCATCGGCTTCGCCATCCTCCACAAGGAGACGATACCGGTGCACTTTGGGCACAACTTCCTGCGCTCGGTGTCGCTTGGGCTTGAGGCTCTTTTGGGGTCTGGGGATGCTTGGGGCTTGGGTGATGAGCCTGCAGTGTCGGAACCCTTGCCGGGTTTAGGGGCGATAAAGCGTACGCGGCGACAGGGCCCTCCGGTGCCCCCAGCCTACCTGCCCGACATGGGAAGGGAAATTGGGTGGTGAGGTTTCGGGTTTGGGGTTTAGCACGACAAGCAGGCCTGATGTAGAAGGGTTTGAGGGTATGAGGCTCGCTTTCTGGCAGGTTTGACACGAAGTCTGGGTGGCTTTGAGCAGCCAAGGTTCGGTTTGAAAACAGATACCGACGATCTCCTCCCTCTTCTGGAGCAGGCAGGACCACCCAAAAAACCCTGCGAACTCTTAGAATGGACTTGAGACCTGAAACCATAAACTCCCTGAACCCTGTGCACTACTTTTTCGGCTCTCGAACTTGGAAGCAAACCGAGTGCTTGAGGTGGACAAGACCCTCCATACCAAGTTGACCTACATCCTCGGCGGCTCCTACAGGGACCTTGGGGACACCCTGCAGGACTGCTCCCGAGCTTTGTGTGCGATCCCCCAGCTTGTCATGAAATCCTAAACGACCTGCAACTAGTACCCTTAGACCTACAGTAATGATTGCAGTCTAGTCTTTTTGGGTATGTTTGGGGGATCTGCATGTGGGGAATGCACAGATCTAAGCCCTCGTTGCCCGACCCCTGCCACAGATCTGTCAGCACCGGGGAGAGAGAGCTAAACGGTTTGGTCTGTACATGAGGGTCAATTTTAGGTGCCTCTTTGTGAGGGGAATCTATGGTCGTCCATACTGAAAGGGCGGTCCTGCGTCTTGAGCAGCCCTAAACCCTAAACCCTAAACCCTTAACCCTAAACCCTAAACCGCATGCGAAACGGGTGGGAAACAACCCTAAACCCTAAACCCTAAACCCAGAAGTGTAAGCAAACTTGAAAATATGCAAATGAGGGCTGTAAGGACGGGGGCGAACGAAAGGTAAAGGTGTGCTCAGCTGTTAGCGGATTGCTGTCCTGGGTGCATTGTTTCTTGCAGTGGTAGCGAGTTCGCCCCTCGAAATTAACATGCCCTTGAGCTGCAAGCAGGGAGCGTGAGCATACCCCAACTTTGGGTTAACCGGTTTTGGTGATGTAGGTGCACTCAGTGGTCCCAAGCGTTGCAGCGTTTTGAGGGGGAGCGCGAAGCACTCGTGCAGCAGGCCAGATTTTTGGTTTGGTTTTAGCCGATTAGGCCAGTGGTTTTTGTGTGACTCAGTGACTCAAAAGCCTGCTGACGTGACATGCGGGAGAGCTTGGGAAGCGTCTCACTCGAAGAGGGCATGGCACGCAACATTGTGCCACGACGAGGGGCTTTCAATGGCCGCCAGAGTGGGCCCTCTGCCCAGCTTTCTCTTGTGTTTCAAACGCGGCGCCGGTCCTAGAGCGCCTGAAGAGGTGCAGGGATCGAAGTGCCAGGCTTGGCAGCCCCACATTGCCCTGACCCCTCTGTCGGCCCCACTTTGTATTCGTATTGATAGGTGAGTGCCTTGGGCAGGGTTGTTGGGCTGCATCGGGGCCCCTTTTGCCTAAACCACGTATACCCACGACTGTTCCCTGCGGAGTGATCCCATTGGGGTCTGCTAGGCTGGCAAAAAAAACCCAGAAGTGAGGTGAGTGTACCGCATCAAACCGTCTCGTCGTCAACCCCGCGAAGTGGATTCGCCCCAGCTGTGCAGGGAGGGAAAAAGAGCCCAACAAAAACAGCGCAATTAGGGTTTAGGGTTTAAGGTTTAGGGTTTAGGGTTTGGGGTTTAGGGTTTAGGGTTTAGGGTTCGCAAAGGGTGACATGTCCAGGATGTCCTGGAGCAGTCGCATCTTCCGCAGACCTTCGTCGTGTCGGAGTCGCACTGCCAAGAGCTACTTCGGTCCGGTTTTGGGGGTTCAGGGTTTAGGTTTAGGGTTTAGGGTTTAGGGTTTAGGGTTTAGGGTTTAGGGTTTAGGGTTTAGGGTTTAGGGTTTAGGGTTTAGGGTTTAGGGTTTAGGGTTTAGGGCTTTAGCTTCTTTTGGGGGGGAATGTTAAATAAGCCATCCTACAGCCTTCTCTCAGTCTTCTTTTGCCGCTAGAAAGCTTGGCCTGTAAGGCTGGTGCAGAGCACCCCTCTCATCGTGGACGGCGAGTCCATGCAAGTTACCGAAGACAACAAGGACCCAAGGGTGTCGGGGTGCAGTGCTTAGGGGTATTTCGGGCTCCGGGGTGCTTAGAGCCTTCGAGCTAGGCTCTGCATGTTCTTTATGCACCGATGGTACTTAAAGGGGCCTCAGATCTTTAGCATCAACCCTCCCGCAGTGTACCGAAACCGGAGAAAAAACCCTCTCTGTGTGTGTGTGTGTAGTTCAACTTGTGCCCATTGGCAGTCCGAGTGAACCCTCAGCCGCCCCAAAAACCGAAAACCTTGCTAAATACACACATGTACTCTATATAGTAGGTGTAGATACACACTATATACTCAGCATGTATGCATATACACATATTACGCACCTGAATGAGAAGCCCCTCTCGAAGAAAAGCAGCTCCCACATCTCCGCCACCCCAAAGGAGCCCCTGGTGCTTAGTAAGGAATGCGGGAATTGGGCCCTACATATACCCTCTAAGGGATTGTACAGGGCCCTCATATACCCTTTAAGGGATTATACAGGGTACCTCATTCCCTTTAAGGGATTCTCTAGGGCCCTACATATACCCTTTAAGGGATGAAACAGGGTACCTCCTTCCCTTCTTCCCTACGAAGAGCCAGAGGAGCGCTTCGTGCACCTGCTGCTGGACCGAATCCTCGTCAGCGGCGTGGCAAAGCAGGTGCCCTGCCTTTCTTGTAGGGGGGGTTACACAGGATGACAGGGGTTTAGGGTTTAGGGTTTAGGGTTTGGGGTTTGGGGTTTAGGGTGTAGGGTTTTTTAGTTTAGGCACTGGGGTTGAGGGTTTGTGGTGTGTTGGGTTCAGGGAGGTTTAGGGAGGTTTAGGGAGGTTTAGGGAGGTTTAGGGAGGTTTAGGGAGGTTTAGGGTTTAGGAGGATGGCGCTGGCGATGAGGACGAGGATGGTCATGAGGGGTGATCATTGTGATGAAGATGATGCCGAAGCATTTTGGTTTTGGTTCCCATATGTTCCGATGATGATTCTCATCTTGGTGCCCAAAAGCCAAGTCTCCAGTCCTATAGGCCTGATTCAAGTCTTCCAAAAGAATGCGTAGAATGCCCCCTCAAGCACTCTTCAAAATGCCTTCGATGCCGCCGATAAAGCTTGCAGAGGTGCAGTTCTTCCAGCGCGGCCTCTTACGGGTGGTGCCCAACGAGCTGGCCCTGCGGCTCAGAGTTCTGGGGGGGGGGGGGGTTCTGTGTGGTGGCTTAGGGCGGGCAGTGCTTCTGTACGTTGTCTGCAGGGGAGCACCATCAGAACTAGCGTGGGGTCGGGGCTTGGGGTTGAGGGGCGGATGTACTGTAGGGTTTCGGGTTGTGGGTTTGAGAGCTTATTCCTTGGTTTGGGGTTTGGACTTTGGACCAAGAGCACACGGCAAGGCCGAAAGACTGGCCCTGGGCTGGAGCCACCCCGAAACCACGTGAAAGGTAGTTTGTATTGTTTTTCGGTGTCACTCCGGTATGTATAGATATGCACTTATGTATGTCTGCCTGTATGTTTGTGATTCTTTATTGTCTTTAGCATCATTGGTAGTGTTGCACGACTACACATGGTCACGACGTGTATTCTTGCCACTCCTGCTACAGCATGATGTGCCATCATTCTTGGTGTGGCCACACTCTGCGCCCCGAGTTGGCGTCATCCTGAACCCTAAACCCAAAAAGCCTAAACCCTAAACCCAAGTCCTAGAAACCCTAAACCCCAAACCCTGCCCAAACCCTAAACCCTAAACCCTAAACCCTAAACCCTAAACCCTAAACCCTAAACCCTAAACCCTAAACCCTAAACCCCAAACCCTAAACCCCAAACCCTGAATCCTAAACTTTTCGGGCGCAGGTGCAGCGCATCACAGGCATCATGACCGCGGCTTGCCTGGCAGCCAGGTTAAGGGCTCCGGGATTTTGGGGCTGGGGTTTAGGGTTTAGGGTTTAGGGTTTAGGGTTTAGGGTTTAGGGTTTAGGGTTTAGGGTTTAGGGTTTAGGGTTTAGGGTTTAGGGTTAAAGGGCTTAGGGCTTAGGGTTTAGGGTTTAGGGTTTAGGCTAAAGCCCCAAGCCCTCAACCCTAAACCCTTCAGCTAGAGTAGGGGGCTACTCTGCATCCCTACTAAGGACTGTTAGCCCAACCCTAAACCCTAAACCCTAAACCCTAAACCCTAAACCCTAAACCCTAAACCCTAAACCCTAAACCCTAAACCCTGGGATGCCCAGGTGAAGGAAATTGAGCTCATGCTCTGCGGGGCCGACGGCATCGACGTCGACGACTGGGAGAAGCACACTGAGCCTCTCGGCACCGGTTTAGGGTTTAGGGTTTAGGGTTTAGGGTTTAGGGTTTAGGGTTTAGTGTTTAGGGTTTTTTAGGGTTTTAGGTCTAGGGTTTAGGGTTTAGGGATTAGGGTTTAGGGTTTAGGGTTTACGGTTTAGGGTGGGAGGTTCCCCCATTCTTTTGTAGCAGTCCTGCATAGGGACTATAATTCTGTTCATATAAGGGGGAACATCCCGAAACACCACGGCGGTGGGTGCAGGGCGTCAACCCCTCAACACAAAGGTCATATAAGGGGGGAACAAACCCTAAACCCTAAACCCTAAACCCTAAACCCTAAACCCTAAACCCTAAACCCTAAACCCTAAACCCTAAACCCTAAACCCTAAACCCTAAACCCCTAAACCCTAAAACCCTAAAACCCTAAAACCCTAAAACCCTAAAACCCTAAACCCTAAACCCTAAACCCTAAACCCCAAACCCCAAACCCCAAACCCCAGTCTTCCTTATGGACCAGCCAGTCACCTCAGGTACGAGAATGGCTACACCAAGGACTCGGAGGCGGCCATCTTCCCCCAGCCCTGAGCCCTGTGTGTGGGGTTTAGGGTTTGGGGTTCAGGGTTGAGGGGTGGGGGTGTGTAGGGTTCTGGAAACCCAAAGCCCACGAACCGTCCATGTACACCCTCGGGACTCCCTGGTAGAACAACAGAGGGGTAAGGCAAAGGCGAGATGAAAGAACAGCACCCCGGGTGTAGTTTACGGGTATTTATTCGAGGAGTGAATCTCTATAACTCGCAATCGTGCGCCTCGGTTGCTGGGATGCGTCTTTGTGGAGTTGCAGTGTTGTTCCGTGCCGAGCAACAAGGAACGTACACAGGCAACGCGTGCACAACTTTCATGCGGCGGCCATCTAGGTCCTCCATCTCGCCTTCGTATCTTGTGCCTGTCATCGCGAGTCCCCTAAGACTCAAACCCCCAAAACCTGAGTTCCTTTTTTTTGTTGAATAACCCCCCCTTCGTATTGAAAAGAGCCTTCTTCTGGCAAAAGTTTCCTGGACTTTGGGATGTTCCCCCTTGTACTACTAGTCCCCTACTAAGGAGCTGCTAGTATAAGGGTGAACATCCCAACCTTAAACCCTCAACCCAAACCCTAAACCCTAAACCCTAAACCCTAAACCCTAAACCCTAAACCCCAAACCCCAAACCCCAAACCCGAAACCCTAAACCCTAAACCCTAAACCCTAAACCCTAAACCCTAAACCATCCCAAGAGCCTGACTTCCCCCCTCCCCCCAGCTGGGGGCAGGCGGTGCGCTGGTTCTGGGAGGCCGTGAGGGCCATGCCCGCCGAGATGCGCGCGGCGCTCCTCTCCTTTTCCACGGGAAGCTCTCAGGTGCTGGGAAGAAAGTGCTGTGTTTTGTGGGTCTTTTGTTGGTTTAGGTTTCAGGGTTTAGGTTTAGGGTTTAGGGTTCAGGGTTTAGGGTTTAGGGTTTAGGGCTTAACCCTAAATAGAAC